CATGCTATGCATCTGCAGGTTGTACTTAATTTGCTACATTCACATACATTCTTTGTTAAGCTCTCCAAATGTTCTTTTTGCACGACAAAGATTGAGTACTTGGGCCATATCATTACCGCGGGACATCTTCATGCCGATAGAGCCAAAATTGCGGCTATGGTGGACTGGCCGGTTCCAAAGACGTTGAAATAGCTCCGGGGTTTTTTTGGGATTGACATGGTATTACCAGCGATTTATCAATCATTATGCGCACCTGGCGGCCCCGCTGACAAACCTCCTCAAAAAGGACACGTTTAGGTGGACTGACGTGGCGACCACGGCTTTCCAGAGCCTCAAAACAGCCCTCTCTTCAGCGCCAGTGTTACGCCTGCTAGATTTTTCCAAGCCATTCGTCGTCGACACTAACGCCTCAGGTACAGGTACTGGGATTGGCGCGGTCCTTTTACAAGATGATCGCCCTATTGCCTATTTTAGCAAGAAGTTGGGCCCCGTCATTTGTCAGCTTCCACCTACCACAAGGAATTATATGGCATCGTGGAGGCCATGCAAAAGTGGTGTCAATATTTGTTGGGCCGTGAATTTCTCAATAGCACGGATCAACAGAGTCTCCGGGAGTTGTTGCAACAGGTTATCCAAACCCCGGATCAACATTTCTATGTGCGCAAACTATTGGGGTATCGTTTTCGCATCAAGTATAAGCCGGGGCGCACTCATTGCATGGCCGACGCCTTATCCTGCCAAAAGGCACCTGCAGAGAACGCCGTATTCTGCCAATTGTCTCAACCATACCCGGAGATCCTGCAGCGCATCCACGAGGAAAATTTTACTCAGCCCGATTTGGTCCGCCTCTATGGCGACTTCCAGCGTGGAGCTTTGCAACCACCGTTTACCGTCCTCAATGGTGTCCTATATTATAATACGCGGTTGTGCGTTGGGGAACAGTCGGGCATCTGGGCCGAGCTTTTACGAGAATATCACGACTCCCAGGTTGCAGAACACACGGGGGTGCACCGCACTTTTCAGTGGTTGGCCCAATCTTTTTACTGGCCGCACATGCGTTCGGATGTCCGTCGCTATGTCGCGGCGTGTCGCACCTGTCACACCACGAAGTTTTCAACACAACCACAATCCGGGCTGCTTCAACTTCTCCCCATTCTAGCGCAAATTTGGGAGGACTTGAGCATGGATTTTATTACCGGGCTACCGCCTTCGAGGGGTTCATCAGTCATCCTTGTGGTAGTGGATCGCCTGTCCAATTATGCGCACTTTGGCATTTGGCCTAGCGACTTTGAAGCACACCGCACGGCTTTTCTATTTGCGGAGCCGGTTGTCAAATTGCATGGGATCCCTAAAACTATTGTTTCTGATTGTGACAAAATTTTCACCAGTGCGTTTTGGAAGGAATTGCATGCTTTGAGTGGCACCACACTCAAGCACAGTACGGCTTTCCAACCTCAAACAGACGGCCAAACAGAGGTACTTAACCGGACGCTAGAGCAATATTTATGGGCCTTCGCCCATGCAAAGTGGAAGCGTTGGACTATTCTGCTACCTTTGGCCGAATATTCTGTCAACACAAGCTACCATCAAGGGTCGCAGATGACTTCGTTCCAAGCGGTTTATGGTCAGCCCCCGCCGGATTTGGTCCCCTACACGCGTGCGTCTAGCCGGGTCTAAGTGGTGGATGACATCTTGGGGGAACGAGAGGCATTACTACGCCGATTGCGTCAAAACTTGGCACACCTCCATTTGTTCCAGGTGGGCGACTTGGTATTGCTGAAATTGCAGCCATATAGGCAGCATTCCGTCGTCCGGTGTTCATCTCACTAACTATCTTTGCGTTTCTACGGGCCATTCGAAGTACTAGAGCGAATTGGGCCCGTCGCCTATCGTTTAAAGCTGCCCAGGTCATCACGTATTCATCCCGTCGTCCACGTCTCCGTGCTGCGTCGTTTTCAACAGGGTGCCGAGGTGGCGCAACCCCTGCCACTACCGTTGGAGTTGGTGGATGGCCAAACCCCGTCCCGTGAAGGTTCATGGACGATGGCGTGTCCTGAGGAATATAATCCCTGTCGATCAATGCTTAGTGGAATGGAGTGATGGGGGAATGGCGGACGCTACGTGGGAACCGGTCGAAGTGCTCTAGCAGAATTTTCCCACACTTCACCTTGAGGACAAGGTGGTTTCTGATGGGCGGGAGAGTGTTATGGATCTTGCACAACATGAGGAGCCGCCGACTAGGCGTAGCGCACGGACTAGACGACCACCGGGATGGCAACGAGAGTTCGAGATGCATTAATTAATTTACCTTATTTTATTATTTTAAATGTATTGTTAATTTTCTTAGGTGAGCGAATTATAAGCTCCTTCGAGGGTTTCTTTACAGTCTTTTACCTTGTCGCTTTTCTTGAATCGTCAGGATAGATAACGTAGTTTTAGGTTTAGAGCTTACGTTTTTTCTTTAAATAGGGACTCCACCCGCATATTGAATCATGAATAAAAAACCCTAATCTTGCCCTAATCTCCTCTCTTCTCCTACCCTTGCCATACCTCACGGCCCCCCTCTCTCACTTCCTCTCTCGTTCTTCTTCTTGTTCGAGCTCGGCGATGCTCCAAGTCTCTCCTACCGATACTTATACGTAGACACAAAAAAAATCAAATTTTTAGAACCCTAATCATTTCCTTTCTAATGACCTCTGTCGTTTGAAATCTAAGTGATTGAATTCTTGCCTTTTGGATCTATTGGTCTTATCCGTAATTTTCACCGCATTTGTTTTAGTTTTCCACACCAGAGGCAATGCCTAGAAATTGGAGGGGCTTTTTGTCATTTTAAATACTCAAACGTGTGAGGCAATAGGACTAGTCTTATTTTGGGAAAACCACAATGTTTTGATCCTATTCTTGTAATTTTCTCTATTTTAAAACCACATTTAAAAATGAATCTATTAAAATTAAAATTATATTACAATTCAATATATTTTCTTTGGTAATTTATAGGCTAAGTTTTAGAATATTGACTCACAAAATCAAAGGTGGAAGAAATATATGCAGGGGCGGACCGTCTGGGGTCACGTGACCCCACGGAAAATTTATAATCTCTCCTAATTATGTAAGAGCCTATCACCGTTACCTTAGTCTTTTTGCCGTTTGATTTAACGCCTCAGTGCCTCTCTTCGTTTCATCTAATTAGCACGAAAAAAAGAAGGCTATTGGTCACTTTGTCGCCCACCGCCCCACGACAATGCCTTCTTCGCCGTTCACCGCCCCACTATCGACCACTACCTTCGTATATCTTCACTGAGATGGGATGCATTTGCCTCTTCTATCATTTTCATCTTTATCGGAATTGCTCAGCTTCCTTCGGCAAACGCTAGGTAAACCTCCCCCTTCTTTTTCCAGTTATTCCTGCACCATTTTTCGGCCAATACTTGTGCACAGCCAATAAAAAAAATTGCTGCAGTCTTTGATTTTGGATTCCTTCCTCAAATTTCTAGGTTCTCAAAAAAAGGTATTAGTTTACTTAGGGTTTCGATTGTTCCCAGTATTAGATTGGATGAGCACACAATACCTGCCCCTTATTGTCCGGTTTCTTCTTTAAAATCAGCTTGAAAACCACATTTTTTCCAAGAATTAGTCACTAATATTTGACTTTTCAGTTAGATTAAATGGAAATTGATAGGGCAGCCCTTAAAGTTACACTCAAGAATTGACTTGCTTTAATCCCCTTTCTTTTTAAAATAACCCCTACAGGTTCTGTTTTATCTTAAAAATTAAGCTCAAAATCAGACCTATCTTTGAAAATCAGCCCTTAAAGTACCAATTTTCTCATGAAAGTCAGCCCCAAAAGTTTTGACACCAGCCCCTAAAGCCTTTGTCTAAAAGTTTCACAGTGCCTGCCCGAATCGGGACTACTATCACTTCAGTAATGCTTAAATAATGGTGCCAATGAACTACTTCTTGATGCCCTTCGAACATAGTGTATTAATGTATCGAAACTCACGTCCCTACCAAGTGGTCTACAGTAAGTAAAAAAGTACCAAACTGATCATTTCTTGATGAGCAGCAGGTGTTCAGGCTAATGTTGAGCAAAACTTCAACAGTTCTTTACTCAATTCGGTTGTTTATGGTAACTATCACTTTTGATACTCTTTTCCGTGTTATGCAGCGACATCAGTTCATTTCCCATATCCATTTATTCTATACCCATTCATTCGTTACCTTTGGCCTCTGCTATTTTGAAACTATACAAGACTATAGACCTGCAGCATCACCAAACGAGCAAATAGTGAGTCTTTACAAGCTATCTAAGACCTTTAACGCCTTTACTACGTTAGCTACCTAAGAACAACACTCATCTTAGACTTAATTACGTCAGTAACAGGAAGCGCTTTCATTAAGTAGGCTGACTTCTTTGTTCCTTCATCAAATAAACTATACTGACGCTTATAGGTTAAATAGGCTCAATCAAATACTTATCGATTGAGTCACTTCATACCTCATTACTTCCTATTTAATGATATGATTCTCATCAATTGGTTAAGGCAAATTGAGAAGGATTTCACCCATTTTCCAAGATTTCCCACTGCTGCCCCCGTGGGAGTCCGGCCATATCTCAGTCCCAGTGTGGCTGATCATCCCAAAAGACGAGCCAGGCATCATTGGCTTGGTCAGCCTTTACCTGAGCAATTACCTTATACTACGCAGTCTCATCAAACATCGCTTTTTAGCCCTAATTGTAAACTGGAGGCTGCTACACCAGACCGAAACAACTACGGAGAAAGAAAGATGCCAATCGGTTGTCCAACCATCCCCGCATACATAATAACTTAATAGTAATATAACATATACCTCTTCGATAGCTCGCTTCATACCCCTAGCTGTTTTTCCTTGCTAAAGGGAGAATATCAAATTATATCTCTAATAGAAATATTTTTAGACACTGTGCCAATATTTTGAGTCAATCTAGAAGATATAAAAACTTATAATATGCATGTCCCACTGTGGTATAAACTCATTGTGCCAACTAAATAAGATGTGTCATCATCTAAGTTTCCATGAGAGTATTTGAAGGACCATACTCTGCTCGATATATCCTTTCAACTTCTAATATGCATGTCACACTTTAATTTGAACATATACAAATATAATACATGATCATACAGGGAGACATCCACTGGGTTGAAGGACAATTGCAGGTCTTAGAAACTGGAGACATTACATTCTACATTGGTTGCAGCAGTTGCAACAGAAAAGTGGACTACATAGAAGGAATCAATTTTAAATGCATGCTGTGTGGTGACCCTGAAGCAAAAACCATAAAGAGGTAACCACTTCCTCTTTACCACGATAGACACTGAATCTATTTTGCAATCTGTGCTTTCACCTTATGAATACATATGTTTAATCTATTTTACAATTCATTACAGATTCAGAATTCTGTCCGAAATAAAAGATGAAATTAGTGCTCTACAAGTGACACCATTCACCGACACACTCGAAAAGATTGTACGATCACTTGAATTGAGTACACCAATGGAGTTGCTAAAATGCGGGGATTTGAACAACAGTCTTGAATCTCAGAAGGTAACGGTTGCAGTGCAACTACCACCTCGCACCGACCAAACATCTGCATCAAAGACATTCTCACTTCTATGCCTGTACGACCTCCGTCATGAAAAAACATCAAGTCCAACCTTAAAGAGAAAGCTGAAAGTGGAAAAACCCAGCCCCAAAAAATAGTGCTGAGGTCCTGCTACCTTGCAAAGCTTAGTTCAGTACATGTGCAATGCATTTTGTCTTGTATACCTACCTACCCCCTTGTTAAAAACTTACTTCACTACTACTAACACCCAGCTACAAGGAACAAAATAAGTTCCAAATTTTGTCACTCCCTCTAATACAATTTGTAAGTTGTAATATATTACATGTAATGTAGCCACCACTCTTTCGTAACCATCACTCTTTTAGAACAAAATAAGTTCCAAATTTTGTCACCCTCTAATACAGTTTGTATGTTGTAATATATAACATCTAATGTAACCAACACTCTTTTGTATAATATTAATATACTTCTACTTAGTCAAAACATATATATCTGGGTGCACACACACGAAGTGTGTCCCATGCTAGTTTTATATATATACCTATAGGTATACGTACTTGGTAATAATATATACCTAAAAAATGAAATTGGAAAAGGTAAAACTAGTAGCCCGAGTGGAAATCACAGCTCTGTCTACCTTTAGCATCTTGAGTTCAAATCTCCTTGAGGGTTTCTTTTCTTGCTTTTTTGAAATCCTCCCTCAAAGCTCTTTTTTTGTGTATTTTTTTCTTGATCTTCCTCTTTAAGAAACGGTTTTTTATATTTTGCAAGCATTCTTCTTTTGTTTTTTTCATAATCTCTATACTAAAGTTTTTTTTGTGTACTTTTTATTCTTCACTCTTCAAGAAACAGTTCTTTTAGCATGATTGAATGAGACTTGGATATTTAAATTTGTTATTTGTTAATTGTAAATTTTTAAATCTATTCTTTTCAATTTGTAGTTTGTGAATTACAATTACATTTTATAAGATCATGAATATGTTAAAATGATTGAGTTTTGTTGAAAACTTATAATGCTCTTATTTATTTACATTTCAATATAGGAAGCAAAGGTATTAAGTATTATAATAAATCACTTTCAAAATATAAAAACTAGACTTTCAAATATGTATTTTATATTTTTAATGAAAGAATATTATTAATTTGTGATTTTATGACATATGTGAACTATAATATTATACTTTCACCATCCTTAATGTCCTTTCCATTTAGACTTTTAGGAGAATTAAGGAAGGGATATCTTTGTCTAGACTTTCTAAAAATATTCTTAATGTGATGACTAAAAATAAGATGTGATGAGTAAATTGTTAATAAAAATGTATGATGTAATAGGTTGGGTAAGATTTAGTAGGTATAAAAATAGTTTTTTAATAGAAATTGAAAAGATTTTGAGAGTAAGAAAAAAAGAAAGGAGAAAGAGTTTTTGGGATTGATACAATTTGATAATAACTTGTCTTATTGAATATTGAGAGATATGACCCTATATATAGGGAATACAAGAGTAATCAAAGTACAAGTAGGAAAGGAAAGAATAATCCTAGTAGGAAAGTAAAGAAGTATCCTAATTTAATTATACTTTCTAATATCCACCCGCAAGCTGATCAACGGAGACGAGGGGCAGCTTGGAACATAAGTACTCAAAAGGAACTGGCGGAAGCGGTTTGGTAAGAATGTCTGCTAGCTACTCTGAGGAGGAAACATGATGTGGAGTCATAGTGCCTGCCATAACCTCATCTCGTACAAAGTGACAATCTGTGCCCACATGCTTCATGCGATCATGAAGAACTGGATTTTTGGTGACACAGATAGTCGAATCATTGTCAGAGTATAACTTCGGTTTGGACGGAGGAATACCCAGCGCATCAGTGATATATCGAAGCCATATAGCTTCTGCAACCCCTACAGCCATAGCTCGATATTCAGCTTCAGTGGATGATCTAGAAACACGAGTCTGCTTTTTCGTGCACCAAGAGATGATATTAGGACCGAGTAGGAGTATGTAGCCCGTGGTAGACTTGCGATCATCTTTATCATTTGCCCAGTCAGAGTCAGAGTAGACAGATAGGTCGAATCCCCCCTTGCGAAAAAGAAGACCACGATTCAAAGTGCCTTTGAGATAGCGCAGAACGCGTTGCAAGGCATGAGAGTCCTGCTCAGTGGGGTTGTGCATAGTCTGAGACATTCGATTAACAGCATACTGAATGTCTGGACGAGTGACAGCCAAGTAATGTAAACCGCCAACAATGCTCCGAAAATGAGAGATATCCTTGAAAGGCAACGAAGGCTTAGTGATAGGTCTCGTAGCCATAGGAGTGATAGCCGGATGACAGTCGGACATCCTAGCTCGACGTAGAAGATCACGGGCATATTTGGATTGATAGAGAAGCATAGAATCTTGCGTGCGCTGAACCTCAATGCCAAGGAAGTAATGAAGAGGTCCAAGTTCTTTGAGCTTGAATTCACGGTCCATGGCCTGAGTAACTTCTGAGATGAGAGTAGAAGAGCTGCCAGTGAGAACAATATCATCAACATAGACAAGGACAACAATAGTCCCACGAGAGCAGTGTCTGGTGAACAAGCTGGTATCATGAATGCAGCACTTGAATCCAAGGCCTTACAAAAAAGAGGAGAGGCGTGTGTACCATGCACGGGGTGCCTGTTTGAGACCATATAGTGATTTGCGGAGCTTGCAAACATAGTGAGGATGAGTGGGATTTATGTATCCTGGGGGCTGCTCCATATAAATTTCCTTGTCCACTGTACCGTGAAGAAAGGCATTGCTAACATCCAGTTGATGAAGAGGCCAATCACGGTTGAGTGCTAAAGAGAGGACCAGGTGCACTGTTTGTTGCTTGACCACAGGACTGAATGTCTCCTTGTAATGAATGTCATACTCCTGATGGTAACCTTTTGCGACAAGACGAGCCTTATACCTTGAAACAGATCCATCAGCATTCCGTTTAATGCGATACACCCATTTGCAACCAATTGGAGTGCGGTTCTTGGGTGGTGGAACCAAGTCCCATGTACGTTGCTCATTCAAAGCAA